GCTCCTGCACCTGCCCTATGTGAGTTTTGTTTCCTCCATCGGGTTGTCAGTGGGGATCAGGAGGGGCAGCCTAGGGGTTACCTCACTCATGGCTGTGTGCATGCCCATGTAAAGAGCTGTGTGACGCTGCCCTGCCGGCAAGCTGTGCATCCTGGCCTGGGGCCTTCCAGGTGAACCTGATGCTGGGAGTGGTCTGTGCTAATCGTGGGAGTCTGGATGTTTAGTGTGCCTGAAAAGAAAGATGTCCTAGTGGGCAGCACATCATGGCGCCAGCTGGATATCTGATTGAGTTCATGTGTTTCTTTTTTTTTTGAGACGAGGTCTTGCTCTGTCACCCAGGCTAGAGAAGTGGCACGATCTCGGCTTACTGCAACCTCTGCCCCCCAGGTTCCAGCGATTCTTCTGCCTCAGCCTCCTGAGTAGCTGAGATTTCAGGTGCCTGCCACCACGCTCAGCTAATTTTTGTATTTTTAGTAGAGACGGGGTTTTGCCATGTTGGTCAGGCTGGTCTCGAACTCCAGATCTCCAGTGATCTGCCTGCTTCGGCCTCCCAAAGTGCTGTGATTATAGACATGAGCCACCACATCCTGCTGCTTTCAGTTTTTAAGGATTACTTTTTACTTAATTTTGTTTTACAACATAAAAAAATTTATGTGGTTCCAAAGTCAAATTGTAAAACAAGGTATAATTTTTTTTTTTTTTTTTTTTGAGACAGTCTCGCTCTGTTTCCCAGGCTGTAGTGCAGTTGCACAATCTTGGCTCCCTGCAGCCTCTGCCTCCTGGGTTCAGGTTATTCTCATGCCTTAGCCTCCCAAGTAGCTGGGACTACGGGTGTATGCATGACGCTCAGCTCTTTTTCTTTTTTCTTTTTTGTATTTTTAGTAGAGACTGGGTTTTGCCATGTTGACCAAGCTGGTCTGGAACTCCTGGCCTCAAGTGATCTGCCTGCCTTGGCCTCCCAAAGCATTGGGATTACAGGCATGAGCTACCACGCTTGGCCATGGTATAAATTTTTGGAAATCTAGCTTGTGTCCTTGTCTCCTTGATCCTGTTCTCTCCCTCCCTAGTAGATAGCCATTTAAAAAGTTCCATGGTTTACCATAAGCACACTGCAACCTCCTCCCCCATAGAAACAGTAGTGGACTGTACGCTTTCACTGTGCTGCTTCCTTTCCCTCTTGCTGTGCTCGGAGGCCGTTCCGGAGCAGTGTACAGCGACCCTCCTCCTTTTCAGAGCTGCACAGGGCTGCATAGTGCAGATGAGCTGCAGGTTCATTCAGCCAGTCCCGTTAGTGGACACATGGATGGTGTGCTGTCTCCAGCTGTTATGGATAGTGCTTTAATGAATTGCCTTGTGCATATATCTTTTCATAGTTTTGCAGATGTATTTTGGAAATAGATTCCGAGAAGTGTGATTGATGGGTCGAAGGGTAAATGCATATGTAATTTTACTAGCGATTGACAGATTTCCCCCTCCACGGGAGGAAAGTTCACTTTCCATTGCTCAAACAATGAATGAGATTTCCTGTTTCCTAAAAGCCTGGTCAATAAATTTTTGGATTTTTCCCAATCTGATAAGTGAGAAGTGATATCTCAGAATAGTTTTAGTTTGCATTTCTGTTCCGAGTGAGGCTGAGCGTCTTTTCATGTGGCTAAGAGCCATTTGTAGCTGTCCATCTCTCTAATTTTTTTATTTTTATTTTTATTTATTTATTTTTGAGACGAAGTCTTGCTCTGTTGCCCAGGCTGGAGTGCAATGGCACCATCTCAACTCACTGCAATCTCTGCCTCCCGAGTTGAAGCAATTCCTCTGCCTCAGCCTCCTGAGTGGCTGGGATTACAGGCACGCCCACGCCTGGCTAATTTTTGTATTTTTAGTAGAGATGGGGTTTCATCATGTTGGCCAGGCTGGTCTTGAACTCTTGACTTCAGATGATCCACCTGCCTTGGCCTCCCAAAGTGCTGGGATTACAGGTGTGAGCCACCACGCCCGACCCCATCTCTCTTAATTTTTCTGTAGGGCTATTGATCTTTTTCTTTTAGAAGCTCTTTATATGTTAAGGGTATTAACCCCTTTGTAACATTTTTCCCCAGTTTTTCATTGCTTGGTTTACTTTTGCTTATGTTGTTTTGTCATTCTTATGCTATGCAAGAGTTCTTGTTTTAAAAATTTTCATGTTAAAAGCATTTTCTTTGTGGATTTTGTGTCAGAATTAGGCAAATTTTACTTGGAGTTTTTTTTCTAGTTTTTGCATGGTTTCATATTTTACATTTTAAGTTATGGTCAGTTTGGAATTTATTCCGGTATATGCTATGGTGAATGGATATACTTTTACCTTTTTCCATATGGATGTCCAGTTACCCCAAAAAACAGTAAAACGGCTACACCCTCCCTTATTTGAGATGCTGCCTTTATCATATATGAAATTTCTATACGCAATTTGGCCCATTTTGAGATTTTTCTTAAAGTTCCATCATTCTGCCATTTTATTCACATACCTATCAGGGGAGCCCGCCCCCGATGGTTAACGTAGGTTCTTTTCTATTCCCTAAGCATCTCGACTGGTTTGAGAAGTAAAGGGAAAGAGAAAGAGAGAGAAATTTTAAAGCTGGGTGTCCGGGGGAGACATCACATGTCAGTAGGTTCCGTGATGCTCCCAGAGCCGTAAAACCAGCAAGTTTTTATTAGCGATTTTCAAAAGGGGAGAGAGTGCATGAATGGGGTGTGGGTCACAGAGATCACATACTTCACAAGGTAATAAAATATCACAAAGCAAATGGAGGCAGGGTGAGATCACAAGACCACAGGATGGGGCGAAATTAAAATTGCTAATGAAGTTTCGGCAAGCATTGTCATTGATAACATCTTATCATGAGACAGGGTTTGAGAGCAGACAACCTGTCTGACCAAAATTTATTAGGCGGGAATTTCCCCCTCCTAATAAGCCTGGGAGCACTACAGGAGACCGGGGCTTATTTCATCCCTTCGGCTTCGACTGTAAAACACAGATGCCTCTAAGAGGGCTGTTCATAGACCTACCCTCAGGGCACATTCTCTTTCTCAGGGATGTTCCTTGCTGAGAAAAAGAATTCAGTGATATTTCTCCTATTTGCTTCTGAAAGAAGAGAAATATGGCTCTGTTCCCTCCGGCTCACAGGCAGTCAGGGTCCAAGGCCATCTCCCTCATTCCCTGAACATTGCTGTTATCCTGTTCCTTTTTTCAAGGTGCCCAGATTTCGTATTGTTCAAGCACACGTGCTCTATAAACAATTTGTACGGTTAACGCAATCATCACACGGTCCTGAGGCAACATAACATCCTCCTCGGAAGATGACAGGATTAAGAGATTAAAGTAAAGACAGGCATAGGAAATCACAAGGGTATTGATTGGGGAAGTGATAAGTGTCCGTGAAATCTTCACAATTTATGTTCAGAGATTGCAGTAAAGACAGGCATAAGAAATTATAACATATTAAATTGGGGAACTAATAAATGTCCATGAAATCCTCACAATTTATGTTCTGCTGCTGCGACTTCAGCCAGTCTCTCCGTTCAGGGTCCCTGACTTCCTGCAACACTTACCAATACCACAGTTTTATTTTTAGCCTTTATAATAAACTTCACTTATGGTGTGGCTACCTCTCACCCCTGCCCCCTTTACTGCTTGACTTTTTCATCTTCTTTGATCTTACAGATGAACTTTATAAATCAACTAATGTAGCTTCAGGGATGCTACTTTTATTTATTTATGTTTGTAATCAACTTACTTAGTTCTAGTAATGACATTTTCATTTATAAAATAAATTTAGGGAGAATTCTTAATGTTGAGTCTTAATCAGTACTGTGCTATGTCTTTCCATTCTCTTAGGTCTACTTTTGTTGACTTTAAGTAGTAGTTTATAATTTTCCTTATGCAAATTTTAGACATTTATTGTTAAGTTTATGCTTAGATATGTCATTGTAAAATTTATTTTGCTATCATAAATGGAATTTTCCCTTCTACTTTTTATATGAAGGCTATTGGTTTGACAACCTGCTACTTCAATCATTTCTCTCATTGCTTGTTAATTGTTTTTCCATATTATTTAGGGCTTTTCAGACACATTGTATCCTCTGAAAATAGGAAATTTTTACCTCTTATTTTCCAGTTTTATGCGTTTAATTTCGTTCTCTTGCCTGATTGCACGGGGTACCCTTAACACCAGTGTTCAATAGGAGGCTGGAAAGCAGGAGGCTGTCTTGCTCCAGCTTTAGCCAGAGTGCTTCAAGCCTTTCCCTGTTAAATGAGATGCTGACTTCTGGCCTGAGGGAGTATATTTTACCATGTTAAAGAAAAGCCATCACTTTCTGTTTTATTGAGCATTTTTAAACATGCATAGCTCTTGAGTTTTGTCATATGCCCACCTTTTTTTTTTTTTTTTTCCTGCATCTGCAGAGATAATCAGAGGATTTTCCCCTCAGCCTCATTTTACAATGGATTATATTAATACAGTTTCTAATATTGGAGCTACCTGTGCATTCTTGGGATAACTCCCATGAGGTCATGGTATGTTGCTTTCTTAATATACTTAAGGGTTCTCTTCGGCTAAAATTTTATTGAAGATTTAAAAGTTGATACTCATAAATGAAATTAGCTGGGAGTTTTTCTTATGCTTTGGTCGTTGTCCGGTTTTGGGGTTATTGTGCCAATTTCATCACATGAATTTGTAAGTTTCTCTTCTTTGTCTTTGCTCTGAAATAGTTTAAATAGCCTTGGGATTATTGGACTTTTAAAGGTTTGAAGGACTTCCCTTAGGAATTTTTGTATGTGCGGGGATTCCAAGTTCTTTCCTCTACCTTATCTTGCAGGACGTAATGAAGCTATCTGATCTGTGGAGTCTCCTGTAGCAGCTGGTGTCACTGAATCAAGGCCTTCTGCTCAGGGTGGCTGTGGGATCTGTGGGATCTATGGGCTGTGGTCAGTCCCCTGCACAGTCTGACTTTCCCTTTCTTCCCTGCAGGTATGGGGCTGATGTTGACGTCAACCACCACCTGACTCCTGACATCCAGCCCCGATTCTCCCGGCGGCTCACTTCCTTGGTGGTCTGCCCCTTGTACATCAGCGCAGCCTACCACAACCTCCAGTGCTTCCGGCTGCTCCTCCTGGCAGGAGCGAACCCCGACTTCAACTGCAATGGTCCTGTCAACACACAGGGATTCTACAGGGGCTCCCCTGGGTGCGTCATGGATGCTGTTCTGCGTCACGGCTGTGAGGCAGCCTTCGTGAGCCTGCTGGTGGAGTTTGGAGCCAACCTGAATCTAGTGAAGTGGGAATCGTTGGGCCCAGAGTCGAGAGGAAGAAGAAAGGTGGACCCTGAGGCCTTGCAGGTCTTTAAAGAGGCCAGAAGTAAGTGGCTTGAGTTCGGCTCTGACTTGTGGGCTGGGTTGATTGAATGAATCAAGATGTAGCAATAAACAAAAAACAAAAACCTCCAACTGAGCACTTGGCCAGAATCTTCAGTTAGCACTCGCAGTCTTCCAGATGGTTGTTCAGATTGATCTTCTCTTTTTAAATTCCTGAATACCAAGAACTGGTATCAGGGAATCTCTAAAAGTACATGTGTATTGTCAGAACTCCTTGAATTATGCTGCTCTCTCTCTCTCTTTTTTTTTTTTTTTTTTTTGAGACAGGGTCTTGCTCTGTCACCCAGGCTGGAGTACAGTGGCGCAATCACAACCATGTAACCATGACCTCCTGGGCTCTCGCGATCCTCCCACCTCAGCCTCCCAAGTAGCTGGGACTGTAGGTGCACACCATGCCCAGCTAATTTTTGTATTTTTCGTAGAGATGATGTTTTGCTGTGTTGCCCAGGCTTGTGTTGAACTCCTGGACTCAAGTAATCTGCCTGCCTCAGCCTCCCAAAGTGCTGGGATTACAGGCATGAGCCACTGCCCTAGTCTAAAGTTATATTCTCTTTATCCTTTTGCTCTAATTTGTGGCCCCAGATTCTTATAGACAGTGACTTCTTTTATGCTGGTTTTTAAGTGAGCCCTTAAAACAAATTGCAAGCGGGGCTTTCTAGGGTTCCTCACTCTCCTTTCAATTCCACTGAAGTTTCGCTATTTAGGACTGTGTGATAAGCCTAAGTTTTGTTACAATGAAGTTCCTAGTCTGCTTATTTATGAACAAAGATTTTGTTCGCGATTAATGCATTAATCACACGAGAGCTTGGAATCGATCCGTAGCTAGGTCTTGTTGTCTGAGGCTCTCTGTGGGATTCAGACATTGATCTCATGTGTCGTCTTTGACTTCCTGCCCACGTGTCAGCCCCTCCCACCGCTCCCAGTCTGGGTCTTGAGACATCCAAGTTGATAACCTCTTCCTTCTCCGTGCCTCTCAAAGGACTTGAAATTCATTGTGTTTTTGTTACTGGATTTCCCTAAACCAGTGATTAAAGCATGCTCCTGTGTAGCCTTCCCGCAAATAGTTAATGAGTGGCCAGCTGGGAACTATACTGATAGAAAAAGCAGCTTGCATTTATGACCATTCCACTCCTCAGCTTCCTCGCTAATCGAGACAGAACTTGGCTGCGCTCTTTTCATTGGGGGCAAAGTTGTCAGCCTGTGCCCCTCAAGCACCGCTTGGCCTGTGTTCCCCAGGCTCTGGTGGCGCTTCAGGGATTGACTAAGGGAAGAGGCTGACAGAGGCTGGGCGTCAGCGGCCTGCACCTGCTGGGGCCTTCAGTGGTCCACTCTGATTTCTTTCTCTAGTGCATTAAACATGGTCAAGTTGTGACCCAGGGAGCAGATGCCCTGGGTTAACCAGGCTGGAAAGGTTTGGCTCCTTCCACCGACAGAAGGAGCACATAATGAGACCTTCCGCCCTTGGGCCTGCCCTCCTCATCCATCAGGAAAAGCCATCACTTTGTGTTTCGCTGAGCATTTTGAAGTTGGTAGTGAGCATTTGTGCACTTCTGGCTGCCAGTCCTGGCTGCCTTTGCTCTCTAGAGCTAGGATAGAATGAACCTTCCTCTATCCCTCTCTTTCTTCCCACGGCCTCCAGGTGTTCCCAGAACCTTGCTGTGTCTGTGCCGTGTGGCTGTGAGAAGAGCTCTTGGCAAATACCGGCTTCATCTGATTCCTTCGCTGCCTCTGCCAGACCCCATAAAGAAGTTTCTACTTCATGAGTAGACTTCGAGTGCTGCGGTTGATTCCAGCAAGGGAGAAGGTGATCTGCAGAGAAGGTGGACACCAAACCCTGAGTGCTGTGCTGCTGGTGGTATCCTGATGGCTGTTGCTACTGAAGATGTCGTCGTGGACTGTCATTGCTCCTCAGGTGCCTGGGCCGCCGAACAGTCCTTGGGTCATTGTCAGCTGAGAGGCTCATACAAAAGTTATTATTGTTTTTCCTAAATTCTCTTTTCTGGATTTTCAGTTGCATATTAATGTAACGGGCCATGGAATGTGTACATGTAGGGACTGAGGTTGGAGGCCTACGAATTTCCCTGTAGGGAGGACTCCTAGCACTTCTGGAACTGTGCTTCTCTTTATTTTTCTACTTCTCAATTTGATTGTTCGATTAAAGCCTTCTAGTATCTCAATGAAAAGGGAGTTTTGTAAGCAAAGTAGAGGACAGAAATGTAGACATGAGCTTGCTGGTTTTTCCCCGCTCCTGGGGTAACACATGCTTGTCATACATGCCCCTTCCTTGCCACTTCAGTATTCTGTCTTTGTGGTGGAGGTCTCCTAGCGATTGTCTTCATTCAAGGGTGGTTTCCTGGCTGCACAGCACCTGTTCCAATACCTTCTGTGCCTCTCATCAGGTGTCATGATTTTTCTGCCACTTCACCTTAGGGAGCGTCCAGTGATTGATTTTAGGAGGCCCACACCAAACTCCCCAGGAAATGACTGCCTTCCTTGGGACTAAGGACCGTTCCAACAGCATTCACTGCCAGTTCTAACAGGCGAGGAAATGCCCGAGGCGCTGTCTTCTATCCCCCACACATACCAGAAAGTGAAAAATGCAGCAAGTCCTCTGGGTGGTTCTGAGCCTCCAGGTGCATGCTGTCCAGTGGACAAAACATCTGGCGGTTGGTTGATTGCTCTTTTGTCTTGGTAGCTGCTTCTAGAATCTCTGCAAGGGGATGGCAGTGAGGCCAGAAGTCTTTCCCTGGAGAGACATGGCCTGGGTGATCGCTGCTGATACCTTTGGCTGCGTGGGTGGGGCTTCCCCTCACCCAGCCCAGGGCTGCACAGCCAGCTTGAGGGTCACTGGCAGGTGGGCTGGTGGCTGCAGCCTCAGAGCCCTCCCAGGTTGCTGCTGTTTCCAGTGAATCACATTTCATCATTTGAAGCCCGTGAGGACCATTGTGTGGATCCATGGTGATTCTAGACTTCAGATAGATTTAGGAAGGAGCAGATTTCAAATCTGTGTTTAGATTTTCTGTAATAAGAGAATTCCAATTTGTAAAAATTGAACAACGATATCATTTTATTTACTTAGTAGCATCGCTGCGTCTCTTCGCCGGCAGGCAGGGTCTGGCCATTACTACATTCTACAGCCTGAGGATAGAATTCTAGACCCCAGCCCCCTGTGTCACAAATGGGCTCTGTGGGTCGCCCCTGCTGACCCGTGCGTGTGCAGATGCAGTTCCGAAGGGAAGAACAGTCCTCAGGGGATTCAGAGGGGTAAATGGAGGTGTTTCCTCAGCTGAGGTGACACTGTTAGAAGCTGCGATGGTTGTGTAAATGTGGGCTGTGTGCTGTTCCCGAGGGGAGCTTGGGATTGGGTCCTGCTGAAGCCAGGAGGGTCTTCCCCAGATAGGAGAGGATCCGCAGGTGAGTGGCAGGGGAGGGCCAGGACAGCCGCGGCCAGGTGCTGTGGGGGCTTCAGCCTGGGGGAGGGAGTGGGCATGTTCTCTGTGGCACCCAAAGCGGGACTGGGACAGAAATTGGGCTGTGGCTGGGGCAGGCGCTATAGGGAGTTAAGGATGATGATATGGAAGTTGGAGCCACCACAGTGGGCTGGGCCTTGTCACTAGAGGGCGTAGGCAGTGGCTCATCACCCTGGTAGGCTGATAGGGGCTTTCAGGGAGGCTTGTTAGCTCCCTGCACTCTGGCTCTTTACTGGCTTAGTATTTAGCTCCTCCCACCTTGAGTCTCTTCTTCCTGCCACCCTTTGGGCTCAGTGTAGGAGAGGAGGGTGACTTTTCTCGAGGTGAGCCGTGTTGTAGACACATGACATGCTCTGTCTGCTCTACTGAGTGCTTCCTGCAGGGGCCTGTTAAGGATGAGGCCTCCCCAGCCCTGCCCGGTGCAGGAGGTGGCTCAGTTCTTGGAACTTTTGGGAAGCGGCACCTAGGAATGCTGCCTTGTGGGAGTCCCATGCATGAGTGCGCTGGTGTGACCTTCAGGCTGCACAGAGGCAAGGACCCAGGTGTGGTAGCGTGGGCGTCACGCTCCTTTGCACAGCCAGTGTCTGTTTTGGAGGGACGAGGTCACTGCCCCTGGTCTCTCTAGGAGGAATGGACTGAATCCTTGCAGAGGAACCTCACTCAGACCCGGCCAGGGAATGATGTGTCTGGGGAGAGAATGAGCTGGAGGAGGGGGCCTCTCGCAGCCCTTCCCTGGCCTGTGGCCTGGCCTGGCTGGCCTGCAGGTGTCTAGGGTCTCAGCTTTTCATTTGCAGAGGACATGTTCAACTTCCTCTTTGTTCAAGCCGGCCTTTGCCAAGTTTTTCAGAATCCAAACAATTTGGAGGTTCAGTGTCTTGTTTCAAAGCTGCCAAATATGAATCTGAAAACAGGGTGGGCAGCTAAGGTCATTCCTCCTGGTTTTAGTGACACTCCCTTCACTAAAGCTCCCTTTTTCTTCTGTTGGCAAGGACAGGATACAGAATAGGAAAGAGTAGCACTTTCCACCTCAGCACGTTAGGAAATCACCTTCCTAGGCCCTGGGGCACCCAAGTCCCATCTCAGTGAGGCTGCTGCCTGGCTGGCCCGGAGTGCTCCCCAGGAGAGGGGCTCGGTGGCCAGGGGAAAGGAGCCTGAAGGTTGCCCCTGGTTGCATCCCAGGAGCATCTGACTGTCACCACTGCCAGGGCAGCTGCTGGCCGTGGAACAGAGTCCTGGGCCCTGGGCCTTGGCTGCTGTCAACAGATGGGCTGGGCTGGGCCATGGTGGAGTGGGGACAACGCTGACACCTCTGAGGATTCAGCTTTGGAGTCCCGGGTGAGGGTTTTAGAGAAACCCATCAATATCACCCACATTCTGTGACTCTTTGTATCACTCACGTTATTTATATATATATTTATTTATTTATTTGTATTCTGCCTTGTTCCAGAAAAGTGTTTAAGGCAACAATGCTTGTTTTTTTGTGTTTTCTTTTGGCATTTGAAAACTTAGTTAAAATGTACTTGTTAAACAGGTAATTTTAAAGAGAAGGAACAATTGTTTTAAGTAAGTTTTCTTTTTCCTTTTTCCATGAATGGATTTTTCAAATGAAAAGCTCTTGAGAGAAAGAGAGGAAGATACAGCAGCCATAGAACTGAGCTGAGGGAGACTCTGTCTGAGAGATGCGTGGCCTGTGCTTCGCTGCCATCCATGTGGCCTTGGCCAAGTCCCTGTTAACAGAGGCGGCTCCGCTTTAGACAGGGACAAGGCTTCCTGCTGTGCCTTTCCGGCAGGGTTTTATGGGGTCACATGGGAAGCAGTGTGTGACGCAAGCAGTCCCCATGTGCGTGTAAACTGCTGTCCTGGTGACTTGTCCCTCTTCTTAGTGGAAACACATTTGAGGTGATGACAGGGCTGGATGAGCCTGTGACCTGGGAGATCCAGGCTGGACTGTGGGCCCCAATGGGCCAGAGTCCTTGTGGCCCATAGCATAGCACAGGGGACAGAGCGCTCTGTGCAGGTAAGGTGTATAAGAACAACATGGTAAATAATTGATGAAGTCACATTTGTTCAACTTAAAGGATTGTTTTTTGTTTTGAGGTTATTTTCTTCCTTATTTGGATGATAAAATGTCCTTTTATGTAATGAAGGTAAAAGTAGAGGGCAATATTTTTGCTTTTTGAAATGCTCTTGGTTGCAAAACAAAATGTTGGTTGCTGTTTGTCAGCCCCAGAATTTCTTCTTCAGTTCGCCTGTCTCTGAAATCCCAAAGTCAGGGAACCGCAGTCTAGCTGTGGTGCATGTTTACGTATTGGTGAGAAATTCCTCTTGGGTCCCTGAACAGCCTGTACACTGGCGGACAGCACTGCAGCATTTCCACTGCTGCCGACCAAAAACGAGTTTGGAGGTCGCCGTGTGCAGTTTTAGGAAGTGCAAACACCCATGGTGATGGGCCTCTAGCCACCCCTGGATCCATGGGACACGCTCACAGGAAGCTGGTGTGCCTTCTCGGTGAGGACTGCCCCTTGACCTGGACTCTGGGAGCCTGTGGCGATGACACTAGTGTGGGTCTTCTGGCTCTGGGGCTACAGCTTCTGCCTCCTCACTGGCCGTCTGTACTCAGCAAGCAGGCCTGGCCTCCAGGGGCCTGGATCCCTGCCAGCTGGGATTGGACTCTGGAAGTATCTGTTTGGGCCATATGACCTCCTTTCTCACTTACGCCTCACTTCCCTCCTCCCGCTCCAAACCCGAGTCTCTCAGTGTGGAATGAAATAGTTTAGATGCGTACATGATGCACGGTGGTGGGATTCACATCCCAGGAGAATCCCACGGAGAGGAATGTGCAGATTTTGAAGTACACAGTGATGTGTGGAATAAATACTATAAATTCTCAGCAGACAGTGGGATGGAGAAGTGAATGGGGGCAGGAGGGGGACTTCTGTTGCCTTGACATGTCATTGCTCAGTGCCTGGAATGCAGGCGGGTCTCTCTTTTTTATGTTGCTTTGATTTCAAGATCTCTTAGATATACTAGGTAGTGTATGAATGTGCATAAATCCAGTTTGAGAATGGTGTTTATGAAGAAGCTGTTTCGTGCATACAGTTGCTGCTGTAATTTAGCCGGCAGTGCCCTGCCCTGCCCTGCGGTGTCTGCACAGCTCCCACTGCTTCTCTTTGCTGTTGGGCATGTGAGGCATGACTTGGAGGGGGCCTGGTGCCTGGGGACCTGCTGAAGAGAATGCTCACCACCAGCCCTCTGTCTCCCTTTCTGCTTTGGTAATCAACACGTGTTTGCCTGCAGTGGCCGGGATCATGACTGTTTCTGCCCTTGTGCCTAGTTAAGAGCCTTCAAAAGCATAATGGACATTTTTGATATGCCATTGTAACTTTAATAAATGCTTTATTTCCCTCTAATTGCCCTCAAATGCCTTAATTTTGTGGACTGTTTATTTCAACAGGTGGAAGTGTTGGTCGTGTGAAATCTTGGCGTGCACATTTCAAGAAGAAGGGAGTTCTTTTTTTTTTCTTCTTTCTATGGAACGTTTCAAGTGATTGGATAGAAAGAAGGACTCTGAAGCAGGAATTTTCACCTGCTCTGAGGGAGCTTGGGGCTCCAGGGACGTACCCCAAATGTTGCCCAGTTTGAAACTCCCTGACAGCCTGTTTTATTTAGTGGCTCGTGGTTTCCAGTTTGAAGAGAGTTGTGCCCCTAAAAAT